TTCAGTCTGTTTTTTATGTATCGCCATTTGGATATGTTCATGTATTCACAATAGTTTATAAACATTTCACATCAGTAATAAAAGGTTTTTTTGTTTCATATCCCTGTCTGCTATTCTTCAGTAATTACGATGCGATGTTTCAATACGTGCGTGAACAAAATTATGCTAATGAGGTCATCGCCTTCTTGGATTACAAGCGGTAGTTTTTCCCGGCCATTTCGACTTGCACTGATCACGGTTACTAAAAATGTAACCGTGCATTGATTACAATATTTACCATAGTTTGTAGTCAATTTCAGTGAGTAATACAACTTCATTCGCTGACATAAAACAAGTTTTATTCTTGAAATTCGACCCTGTGTCTTAGAGTTCCCACAGATCTTGACCGAGTGCTCACGTTTATTGAAACCTCGCATAAATCAAGAAATAAGTACGTGTACAAAGTGTACGAAAGCATTCCTTTATTTGACCTTATCATACGATCACAAAAACAACTTTTTAAAATCTTTTTTGGGGTGGTCCTCGGGTAAGCGCCCACCCGCAATTTTTCCCGATTGTGTACGTTCAGGCCCCTGGGCGCGTGCCCGGGGTAATACGGTATATCATTGAGATAAAAGAAGGAGTTACAACTGGTTCAAGATCACACAATCTATGATCATTTTCGCCGTTCACTCAGTAATTATATTGTTTGCTTGTTAATCTAGCAGCTAACAACAAATTATCTATAGATAAGGTGAATTAACATATTCTTCGGAAGCCTCTGGAATATTCAACAAGCAGCCTGTCGGCTGAGATAGCTCCGATGTTAGCAATGCACATTTCAATTAAAGAACTGAAGATATCATTAGAAAATGAACAATATGTATAGTATCAAAGCACACTTGCTGTTTTCAATGAGAATTCAAAAATATCACTTTTTACTAAAAATTACAAAAATATTCATTAAAATTAGATAATTGAAGATATCACAAAATGAACAAATTTGAGAGAGGTTTACCTGTAGCACCTATATGTATAATATCAAAGCAATCTGACCAGTTTTTAACAAGAAGTCGAAAATATCACTTTTCATCAAAAATGACAAAAATATTCTTAAAAATTAGAGATTTGAAGGTATCATAACAAAATGAACAAATCTGAGAGAAGTTGAAAATGCAAAAAATTGATAAGGACGACGATGGACAATCACTCATATGATAAGTTCTGCTCGACAAAGTCAACAGTGGAGCTAAAAAGTAGTAAGAGCTCATTTTAAATTATTATGAACCAGCAATTAGATAAAATTTGCATTTTATAAGGGCTTTTATTTATTTCTAATAGAGCACAATTTTAATTCAACAATGGATATTAAAAGAACAGGCACAGAAGCCAAATCGTTTTCAATACTTACATTTTTAATTAGTGGAGCAGGCAGTCTACTGAAAGGCATATTAGATTTGACTGTCAAAGCTCCACATGCTTCCCTGCAAGTAGAGTCTTCTGAAAGATATTTGACAGCTTGACGGTGACCATCCAACATGAAGAGCACATCCACCATACAGGTCTTATCAAATCCAAATTTGAAATTCCTAGAAAAACATGCCATACATGATTGTCAATGACATGGTCCTACCATACATTACAAGGATTAACAGCAAGAAAATAGAAAGTGCCCGTCTAATCTGTAGCTATAGACTTGTAGTATATTTGATTATTTATGGTTATTTTCGATCAAAATTGGATAGGTTTGCAAAGATTTTGTCTGTCAAATGAAATGATGTCTAAAATGACAGGTAGACATGCGACTGTCTAAAATGACAGGTAGACATGCGACTGTCTAAAATGACAGGTAGACATGCGACTGTCTAAAATGACAGGTAGACATGCGACTGCCTAAAATGACAGGTAGACATGCGACTGCCTAAAATGACAGGTAGATATGCGACTGCCTAAAATGACAGGTAGACATGCGACTGCCTAAAATGACAGGTAGACATGCGACTGCCTAAAATGACAGGTAGACATGCGACTGTCTAAAATGACTGGAAGACATGCGACTGTCTAAAATGACTGGAAGACATGCGACTGTCTAAAATGACAGGTAGACATGCGACTGTCTAAAATGACAGGAAGACATGCGACTGTCTAAAATGACTGGAAGACATGCGACTGTCTAAAATGACAGGTAGACATGCAACGGTCTAAAATGACAGGTAGACATGCACGCTAAAATGACAGGTAGACATGCGACTGCCTAAAATGACAGGTAAGACATGCGACTGCCTAAAATGACAGGAAGACATGCGACTGTCTAAAATGACAGGAAGACATGTGACTGTCTAAAATGACAGGAAGACATGCGACTGTCTAAAATGTGACTG